GGAGCATCAGACCTGTCCCTGACTGAGCAATGTTACCCCAGGTCCATGCTCTCTCACCGTGGCTTAGAACCCCAAGTTCTTTACAGGTCCAAGGGCACCAGACCCCCTGAGCTATGCTCCCAGTGGGGTGTTTACTAGAGGGACAGCTGAAGGGTTGCTGACTCAAGACTCCATTTAACCACACACCAGGTAAAGCAGCTCTTTGTGGAGATGTACAAGCCATGCTTGGGGCTAAATCCCAAGATGTGCAGACGCCAGGGCTCTGGACTGAGTTCAAAAAAAGATGTATACATTGTATGGACAGAGCTTGAGCAATTTGCCTTCTGGGAGGCAGATTCTATCCCAAGGAAAGGGTAAGTGAGACCATGTGGGTCCAGCAAACCCAGTCTCACACTGAGAAAGGCGGTTGGCGGCGTTGGAGTCCTAGCTGTCTGAGTCTGGGCATGTGCTGTTAACGGTAGCTCCAAACTATTAGCAGAGGCATAGATGTTCCAGGTCTAGTGATGTGGTCACATATGACAGTCATCCCACTGGACCTGAGTGCAGTAGAGACAGGAGTCATGGAGAGTGAACGCCCCAAGAAGAGGAAGACTTCACAGGAAAGGTGCTGAGGGTACATGAGGACCACCTGAATAAGACTCATGGGCCACCACACATGGAGCATTAAGAGAAATCAGTGCCCAGGACCCTGGAGACAGCGGCTCAAAGATCCCACAGGAAGCAAGTCAGCTGTCCTCAGAAAAGAGGAGTGGCAGGGAATCCAAGTTAAGGAAACAGGAAACGTCCAAACTGGTTGGTGACAGAGGAAAAGACAATGTCATAGAATGCCCATATCAGGGACTTGAGAAGGAAACCTCACAGGAGGGACCCAGGGTTTGTTCAGCAGTCACGTGGCTCTGCCTTCTCCTTCCTTTACCGAGCTCCAGAGAACCAACAGAGAGATGCTAAGGAGCCTTGCCTGGGCTTGGACACCTGACCTCAGCTTGACCTTGATATGATGCAACCTTGGCCAAGTTGTTCCTGACTTTCTCGGGCTGGAGATCAGGGCGTTCTCTACCTGCCTTCACCTGGTACAGGGAGCCAGAGAGGCTTGGAGGGCCAGGGGGAGGGGGGAAGAAGGGGAGAACCAAGCAACAGGGCCCAACTGGAGATCACAGGCACTGGCTGATGAGGAAGCCCCTGTTCCAGGGACAGGGCAAGATGCTGATCCTCCGCGCTGCCTAGGGGAACAAGAGGAACTCTCCGGATGCTGGCTGGCAAATAGAGCCATTCTCCTGTCTCGTACTCTTACCTCCAGACTAGAGGAAGAGATTGATTTGAGAATCCAGAGTCGCTGAGCTCCTCCGAGCCCCTGGAGGACTGAGCAGTCCAGCCTGCCCTGGGGTTCTGTCGGAACCCTTCAGCTGGCTCTGGCCCCAGTTTCCATTGTCACTCTGTGAACCCCGCTCCCCCTCCCCACAACTCCACCCCACCTTCCACTTTGAAGAGCCCAGAAGTTCTCCAGCTGCCTGGAAATGCTGATGACTTAACTGGTTTAATTTTTTTTTTTTCCCCAGCAGCCCTGAGGGGTTTTAACTCTTTCCTCCCGCAGAAACCCAGCTTTTGGAGTTGAAAGTTTAAACTCTCACTGGGAGACTCATAAATATTCGGAATCACTCTCTCCCTCTCTGTTTGATTAGGAAATGAGCCTTTAACTCGATGTAATCCCCAAGCCATTAACAAAAAAGCCCTCAACAGCTCTACTATCAGAATTTCACTCTTAACCCTCGGAGGATTGAATTAGATTAACATAACTACCCACAATCTGAGTTTATTTTCTGTGCCAGATAGAAATGTGTTTTCAGGAAAGGGAAGGGATGGGGGGGGCGGGGGGGGGATATGGAGGATGGCAAAAAAAAATAGGAGATAGATAATGAATTGTAAAATAGAGATAAAGAGATGGACAGAGATTCTGTGGGACCAGTGGTGGGGAGAAAGAGCTACCCCATGGTCTTTGGTTTAAAGCTCCTGCCAGCTGCCAGTTTTATTCATGGGGTACTTGGAGAGGCCTCAACTCCCCGGAATTGTTGGGATCAGGGGAGTACTTTCTGGCATTTGCCATCCCTTCTTCCTGGAGATTGACGGCCCTGCACCTGAGCCTGCAGCATTCCAAAGCACCTGCTCGATGGCCCCATTGTCCCCAGTTTGGGAAGAGGTCAGAATGGATTCCTGCATGCTCCATGGAGGGAGGGCACAGGAAACCGCGGCGCACGCACATGGGCAAGGGCTTGTTGACACACACAGAGACGGGCGGCGATGATGCCGGGGATGGTGTTAGAGTCTGCCCACATGAAGTCACAGACGGCTCCGTGACCAATTGCATGTAAGAAATCAGTTAGGGGGGAAAATGAGTCTGATGGGAGCTCGGACCACATAAAATTACTGGTTATTCAAGCAGAAAGTAAGTAATCAGAGGCTGTATGCAAATGTCCTGAAGTTCCCCCCAACAGCATCCCCAAAGGGAAGCCAATGGGGGAGGCGGGGAGAAAACACATCCTACATCAAAGCCGAGGTCTTCATCATGCTACCCAGCAAGCCCCAGCCCATCTGAACATATCTTCAGGTCAAGGGAAAGGGTGGAGGGTGGATTGTTTTAAGTGTTTCAACAAACTCTCTCCCCTCTGGACCGTGAACGCTAACAAGAACACAAGACTCTTCCCCATTACCTTAGTCACAAGTCCCCCCCAGACAGGCCTCAGTGTGCACATGGGGGAGGGGGCTGGTGGGGAGGAAAGGATTGGCTCCTGTGCTAAAAGGTTAAAAACTGTCAGGCTTCCTGCTAGAAGCCACCGAGCTCAGAAAGACCGGAAAGTTCAGCTTGGCAAACAGTGGACCACTCTCATTTCTGTGCACAACGTCTCAATCACTTGATTCACACGAGCCTTAATTAACAACAACCCACAAAATCCCACCCCAGCACATTGCAGGGAAAGCTTAGCAGGATTGGTTTGTCAAACAGAGACCTTGGAATAGGAAATAACAATAACCTGACACCGACAGTATACCCAGCTTCCCCTTCCTTGGGTTCTTGGACATGATTTTGATACTAGATCTTAAACAATGACATTCACCCTCTTCCTTCCTTCCTTCCTTCCTTCCTTCCTTCCTTCCTTCCTTCCTTCCTTCCTTCCTTCCTTCCTTCCTTCCTTCCTTCCTT